GTTCCAGTACACACTCCACATTTGCCACCCTGAGAGTATCACAAGTACTGCTACTGAATGATTGTATCATCTTGTGAAAATGAATCACGTCTCTAATTTAGAATTTTGATATGACGACCAAGTCTGTGAGAACAAAATTAGTTTACCTGTCAAGTGCAAAAAAAAAAAAAAAAATACAAAAAGAAAAATGTTTAAAACCATCTTTTTTCTAGGATGAATGAGCTAGGCAAATAACTTTTTAACTCAAACTTATCATGTAAAAATTGTCATGGAGAGAACACAAGAATTCAATTAACTACTTGTTCCCTCAGAAGTTAATTGTTGTTAGTCCTATTGTCATGTCTTTTTAATGCCTGTTTTTCAATTCGTTGCTTTTTAGACTTAAAAAGGGTATCTCAAAGGCAGAGAATTCATTTGCTATAAATCAGCTTATTTTTAGTCATTTTCCAATTTTCCTAAAATTTGTAAAGTCAAATTTTGAATACTAGAATAAGTATAAATTATATGTAAGAATTATTTGTGAATTTCAAAAATACCTGCCCCCTCTTTCCCTCCAATATGGTTATTCTAAAATAAATTACAACTTTGGAATATTCCATGCTGATTCTTATCCTAATAATGGAAACCAATTGAGTCATATAGAGTTATAGTTTCTTAGTAAGGCAATTATTAAGAATGTAATATCTTGGGATATATAAGTTTTATTTTTGAGTAACTTCAAATCTTTAGTCTCGTTTCACTTAAAAATACTTTTAAAAATCAAATTATATCAATAGCTATTTATTGAGTTCCTACTTTCTACAGTGCTCTGTGAAGGATGCTAGTATAAATAAAATTTTCAGAATCATTTAAAATTATATGAAAGATTCTCTTTTTAGTATGTATGTCTAGACTTTTAAGGAGATAAAATCTTCATAAACAAATTTCTCACAAAAGAAAGCAATAAATATATAAGGTGACAGATATGTTAGCTTGATTTAATGATTTCAAAATGTATACAAGTATCAAGACATTACCTGTGTACTGTAAATATATACAATTTTTATTTGTCAACTATACCTGGATAAAGTTGGAGGGAAAACTACAGAGATTTCTCCTTTACAGAAAAGAGAAAATTAAAATGGGGGGAACTAAGAGGTATTTTTTTTTAGAGAGCTTTGAATATATTATAAAATCATAGATTTTGGAGGCAGGATAAAATCTTAAATTCTTAAGAGTATTTATTTAATTTTACTAGAACTATACATATTATATGCCTACTTTGAACAAATGCAAACTTAACTGATAATCTAGCCATTTAATTTTAGCAACATAAATATGGCCACAGATTCAACCAGGTATTTTTGAATTGACTCTATGCCAACTCACAACTTAGTTCTAAGTATATTTTGCTTAAAATAATGAGAAACACATTTCTATGGTTCTAAATTTGGGACTTCTTTTTACTGACAGAAAAATTCTCTAGATATGAATGACTGTATTCCTAAATAGCTAACATGTGCTCTCTAGTTCATTTTGCTTAGGCCCAAACATTCATATTTACCATATCCTGCCTTGTATGTATTGACCTGCCATCCATAAAAAAGTGGATGCGTTTGAAACAGGAATCGTGATTCTTTACATTCAGCCTTCTGTAGTTTCTAACTCAGGGCTTTCAACCTAGTGCAATTTAAAAATATATATGGGAAGGAAAGGGAAAAAAGAGAGCAAGCTATATATCTGAGTTGTTGTTAAGTTGCTAACACGTGTTTTTTGTGTGTGTGTTTCTTCATATGTACTGATTCATTAGCTTCAATTAAAATGACAAAATGCTCAATTAATCATTTATTTTAAAATATATAATTGCTGTCTCATGGTGTGATGACTCCATTTGCAATCAGTCCTACCCAGGAGTGGTAGAAAGAGTACTGACTTTGGCACAGAATTCTAACTCAGCGACCTACTAAGTTTGTCACCTTGGCTGAGCTACCCAACCTCTTCAAGCCTCGGTAGCCTTCCTTGTAAAAAGGGGTTGCTAATACTTAGACTTCTGATTCATTGTGAAGAGAGAATATAATAGATTTTAATATCTATGCTGCTTGCCTCTCACTAGGAATGTGATTGTGAGTAATTAATCTCTCTAATCCCTAGTTTCCCTGTCTATTCAACTAACATTTATTAAGTCACTCAGCGAATATCACCAAGTATCTAGTAAGCTCCAGGAATGCACACATACACAAATATCCCTATTAAAAAAAATACAAGAAACTAGAGAGCACAAAGACAAAATGGGGACATTTTGTCTTCTATACTGAGAGTTAAGAGAAATGTCCTGGTGGAGAAGATATCTGAACGAGTCTTCAAATAGGAATAAATGTTAGCCAAATGAGCAAAGTTTGAGAGGGATTTCTAGATGAGAGAATAAAGGCATAAGGGTGTAAAACAGTATGGTTTGTATGCAAACACCCTAAGGAAGCTGCTATTTGATAGAGTTTAGAATATACAGAAAATGGGAGAAAATGAAACTAGAAAATAAAAGAATAGATCCAGGTCAGAGGGAGCTTAGATTTATTTTGTAGACACTCTGAAAGGTTTTAAGCAAGGACATAACATAGAATTCATTGGAGAAAGAAATCACTGTAGCTAAAGCGAGCAGAATCTATTTAAGAAGTGAGAGGTGGGCATTAGGAGGACAAAGGACAAGTTAGAAGGCTGTGGCATTCATCAAAGTGGAAATTATGCTCGAATTATACTAATACCATAGTACAATTTATAGGAGCAGGTTTAAGAAATATTTAGGGCATAAAATAGATATGACTTAGTGATTTCTTTGTTGTATGCAAAGAGAGAGAAGCAGAGTGGATGTCTTGGTCTCTGGCAATTAATTGAAGTTCCAAATAAAAGAGAAATAGCAAGTTTTGGAAAGGAGATAAATAATTATTTCAGTTGAGAACATGTTGAATTTGAGATTGCAGTCAGACACATACAGCAAGCAAATGGGTAACTGAGCTTAGAGAGATAAGACCTGAAGACAGACATTTGAGGTATCTATAAAATATTGCCTACCTTCCAAGATGATGCTAAGGATTAAATTAGCTAATGTGTATAAAGTGGCTAATGCTACACAGCACTGTAAATAAAATAAATCGGATGGCTTATTTAAGTACTTTACTCAAAAATGTAATTACCATTCCATCCTGCACATAATTCTTGAACCAATCTCTGAATTTGAATAAAATCTGAAGTAAAAGTTACAACTTAACCTAATAGACTCTAAAACAATGCATTGAAGAAAGCTTAATAAGACGACTGTCAATCTTCTAGTTATTTCTTCTCTAATCACTAAACTATTAAGGAGTTGGCTTAATGGTCCATCCTTCTCTAACTACAACTGAACAGTTCCTGCCCTGTTGCCTCTTTTGTTACATGCCTCCTGGTAAAAAGAATCCTGTCTTAGAGCCTGTAAAATCTATCTTAACATAAAGCCTCTGACTTAGAATATATAATTTTTAAATTCACCAATATAAAAGTGAAATAATATAACAGAACGTATTAATTACATTTTCAATTTCAACTAAGGTATCCAAGTCCTGACAACCTTGAGGATAATGGAAAAGATGAAAGAAGATGGAAAAAGTGGTAAGTTTTCCTACTCTCATCCCAGTTTTTCCAAAGCTTCTTCCCCAAATTATAGAAAGTGACCACCCACCAACATAGATAGAATAATGGATGTTCCTTTAAACCACTTTTAGGTGACTCTACATCTAATCTTTCCAATTTTCCCTTGTAAGCAATCAAAAAAACTTACAGTTGATGCTAATTCCTAACTATGGATATCTACAAATAAATTAAGGAAATGGCATTGCCAAGTTTTGACTTGATTATTTTTTAAAATTCGTTTTTGTTATGTTTAAAACTTAAATTGAATCAGCTGGACATCACACATGGTAGAGAGCTAAACTTATTCATTGCTATTTTCTAATTATAGAGATCATTAGATCATAGACTGTGGAGTGGTTGTGGGTTGATAATGGATCTTGAATCCTTTCCGAGATGTGAAGAAGTCTTGTCCTTCATGGATGAGGATGATTGAATTAGTTCTTAATATCAAGTAGAATAATCTGGCTATACTTACTTTCTTATCGTCAAATTACTCCTAAAAATAAGGTAGTGTGTGGCACTATGTTTGCTGGTCTGTATTTGCACATTTGCATTAGAAAAAACTCTTCCCTGTGATTGATAAAAATCCCCATATATATATACTGCTGGTTTTCTAGGTATAAAGTCTGATGTAATCCTAGCTTCAAAGCATTAAGGTCATAATTCTATAGTGAATAACATTGGATGATTACCTATTAGAGCAATATTTTCTAAACTGATGAATTAATGGACAATATATTTTCAAAACATATCACACTTTAATTTTCCTACTGCTTATACAGTGCCACAGAACTGTTTATGATCCTTAGTTCTGTCAGAAAGAAAAGGAAACAGAAGTAATTTTCCTTGTAGTGAAATGGATGTAATGCTCCTCGAGAAGAGTAAGTGCCTTTTGAATAGCCCTTTTCTGCACTGATAGAAAGGAGGAGCTATCACAGGACTCAGTTGGCTATTTCCTTCTTGTGTTGCAATTGAAAATAAGTCATGAGAAAAGAAGTAATGAGTTTCCTTTACAGTTGAAGGAATGTAATTTACAAGTTAAGAATTTATTGACCATAAAATTTGGGAAACTTTTGGAACCTAGGAAGTGGTAAGACATCCCCACCTGAAATGGTTAAAGAAAGAAAAATTTCCAAAGCCAGAAGAAATTTCCAAAGCCAGAAGAAAACCTTCTAACAATTCTCAAAGCCACCCAAGCTACGCAATCTTCTAATATTTTATTCACTAAGCATTCAGTCAATTCCAACTAGGGTATCACTCACCTAGGTCACCAGCAAGTTTTAATGACACACAGTCAACCAAGATTTTTATGTTCTTTCTTCTTTTAGATTTTGATTAAAATAAAACATTCTCCTTTTTACCTTCCTATAGTTTTCCATGAGGCATAATCATACCTCTCCCAGCCTGTAACCAGTATTGTCTTCTTAAGAATGAGGATTTGTGAAATATCCACAGCTCCATCTTGCCCAACATTCAGTGTATGGTGACAATATCCATTGAAGTCCCATATCTTTAAGAGAAAAATTAAAACCACCTTTGAGACAGGAAGGTAAACTTTTGTGTTTATATTCTGAACTAGGATTAATTCATTTAGGATATGTAATCATTAAAGAAAATCAACTCATCATTGAATTTTGCCACTATATTACTCTAGTAATATTGTGAAATATCTACTTGGTCTTCATCCCCATTTCTCAGCACAATAACTTTTAAAGCCCTCAGACTCTTTCTCTAATGATAAGATAGTATTTAGTATGCTAATGATATGACTCCAGGCTGGGGATCCCCTAAATAGCTTCAGAGTGGGGGCCGGTCTCAAGAAACACCAAGCCCCACCCCAAAACCCCTAGGGAGCAGAGAGGAGTTTAAAGTTGAGTTCATCTCCAGTGGTCAGTGATGGAATCAATCATGCCTGTGTAATGAAGCCTCCATAAAAACCCAAAAGTATGGGAGTTGAAGAGATTCTAGACAGCTGAACATATGTGGAAGTTGCTGGTGGGTGAAAAGCCCAGTATGGAAGAGCTGTGTCCACATGCCTTGCATTATGCATTTCTTCCATCTGTCTGTTCATCTGTATCCTTTGTAATATCATTTATAATTAATGAATACATGTAAGTCAAGTGTTTCGCCGAGTTCTGTAAGTCACTCTAGCAAATTAATCGGGTCCAAGGAGAGGGTCACAAGAATGCTGATTTACAGCCCATCAGTCAGAATCACAAGTTACAACCTATGCTTGTGACTGGCATCTAAAGAAAGAAGCAGACTTATGGGACTGAGCCCTCAACTTATAGGATCTGACTCTATCTCCAAGTAGCTAGTGTCAGAATAGAATTGAATTGGAGGACACCCAACTGGCGTCCTCTGGAAAATCTACCACAGAATTGGTGTATGGGAAAAATCCCTACACATATTTTGGTGACCAGAGGTGTGTATTGTATTCAGTGTGACGGTAGGAGAAACTGACTTTTTTTCCTATATAAAGTCATGCATCACTTAATAACAGGATACATTCTGAGAAATGCATCATTGGGTGATTTTATCATTGTGCCAATATCATACAGTGTACTTATGCAAACCTAAATGGTACAATCTACTACACACCCAGACTATATGGTATAGTCTATTGCTCCTAGGCTGAAAAGCTGTACAGCATGTTACTGTACTGAATACTGTTAACAATTGTAACACAATGGTAAGTATTACTGCACTGAATACTATCAACGATTGTAACACAATGGTAAGTATTTGTGTATCTAAACACAGAAAAGGTACAGTAGAAATATGGTATTATAATCTTAAGGGACCACCATCATATATACAGTCTGTTCTTAACTGAAATGTTGTTAGACAGTTCATGACTGTACATATTTTAGACTCTACTTGTAACTCTATCTATCTATTCCAATAATAGTTCTTCAAATACCGTAAGTTAATATGTATTCTAAATGGAGACACAATATAAAATCATGAAGAAAACCATTGTGGAATCTGTTGACATCCTGAAGTTTTCACTATGTCTAAACTTCTGCTTCCTCATCTGTGACACAGGAACTTTACTCTTCAGGGATGCTTGGAGGATTAAAAGGATTAAACAGCTGATACAGAACCTGAAACAGTCATCATTTACTAGATTTCTCATCCTCTACCAATAAAACCTCCTGTTGATAGTGGGTGCTAGACACAGTCCTCAAGAGGACGCAAGCCGTTCCGGTTTACCTGCTGAGGCAGTGGAGTGAAAACTGAAGCCCAATAGGCATACTTTAAGGAGAGCATCATTAGATTAGTAGCAGTTTAAACTAAGCTCTACTATGAAACCTTGTTGGCACATCATGCACAGAGGTCACATTGGCACTATCGAAATTAAAATGCAGGCTAGGCACCGTGGCTCATGCCTGTAATCACAGCACTTTGGGAGGCTGAGGCAGGCGGATCACCTGAGGTCAGGAGTTTGAGATCAGCCTGGCCAACATGGTGAAACCCTGTCTCCATTAAAATTACAAAAATTAGGTGGGACCAGGCACAGTGGCTCACACCTGTAATCGCAACACTTTGAGAGGCTGAGGTGGGCGGATCACAAGGTCAGGAGTTTGAGACCAGCCTGGCCAATATGGTGAAACCCCTTATCTATTAAAAAAACAAAAATTTGCCAGGCATGGTGGCATGCGCCTGTAGTCCCAGCTACTCAAGAGGCTGAGGCAAGAGAATAGCTTGAACCTAGAAGGCAGAGGTTGCAGTGAGCTAAGATTGTGCCACTGCACTCCAGCCTGAGCGACAGAGTGAGACTCCATCTCAAAAAAAAAAAAAAAATAGCTGGGCATGGTGGTGCACACCTGTAATCTCAGCTACTCAGGAGGCTGAGAGGAGAATCACTTGAACCTGAGAGGCAGCAGTTGCAGTGAGCCAGGATCGTCCCACTGCACTCCAGCCTGGGCAACAGAGCAAGACTCTGTCTCAAAAAATAATAATAATTACTAAAAGCCCTATACCCTTTAAAAATTTAGCTTCTAGAAAATCATGCTACAGATGATTAAAAATTGGCTTAAATTTTGGCTTAAAAGTTCAGCTTCTAGAAAATCATTCACAGATACATTCATATATGTAAAATGACATATTTTCAAGCCTATTCTTGCAGCATTGTTAAAAAGCAAAAGATTTGAATCAATGTAATTGCTCACTAGTAAGAAAATAGCACAATCAGAATAAGGACTGTCTATGCAGTAGCATATAATGTAGCCGTAAAGAAGAATGAGTCATTTCCGTTTTTCATTTTCCTAGACTCTGCCAAAACTCAACCACCTATGGAAGCTTGAGCAAGTTGCCTTAACTCTTTGGGCTTCAGTTTCCTCATTTGTAAAATCAGGATGATAAGAGTACCAACCTTGTAGATATACGTATATGTGTGTGTGAAGTCCTTAGAATAGTGCCTGGTTCATAGTAAGCATGGAATAAATATTAGCTAACATTATTATTATTGTATCCATTTATATGAGTCAATATCCAAGACAGAAAAATGCAAATGCAGAACAGCATGTATAGTAGGCTGCCATCAAGAAACAAATGGCCAGCCACAGCGGCACGTGTTTGTAATCCCAGCTACTCAGGAGGAGGCTGAGACACTAGGATCACTTGAACCCAGGGGTTTGAGACTTACCCAGGAAACACAGTGAGACCGTGTCTCTAAAAACAAACAAACAAGAATGACTGAATGAAAATAAACAAACAAATGGTGCTTATGGCCAGAAGGATGCACAAGAAAACAGTAACAGTGGTAGCCTCAGAGAAGGAGCTGGAAACAGCGATGATATATTTTCACTATACATCCATTTTATATTTCAAAAATTTTATTATATGCACACATTAATTATTCAAAACATTAATTAATTTAAAAAGAGACCGTTCAAAGCCATGATGAATAAGTTAATAATTTTAAGTCTTTGATTACATAGGTACTGAATTTGGATTCTAAATTATAAATTAGATTGGAAAATGTCATTCATTCTTGTTTCTTCATAGAATACAGCCATAGCAACTCGAACCTGATTTATGTGTCCTACACAGAAGTTGCCAGACTTCAGAATTCTGTTGTGCTCTTGTGATAAAGATAAATGCACCTTCAGAAGCAGTTATTACACTACTAAATTCACATTAACTTCTAAGATGTCAAAGCTTCAGTTGAGACTTGAGGCACACACATACTCTTCATCCATGTCACTATGTTTTCCTCTAAACATAGCTCTTACCAAGTCCACCTTAAATAATTTCCACAAGTAGGTATTGCAAAGATCTGAATGTCCCCAGGTCCTACTAAGTCCCTTAGTTGGGATTATTTTAGCAAACATCTACAAGGTAAGCCTTACCCTAGATTCTATACCCAGTTGCTTTCCGAGATAGAGTTAAATAGAACCTAATCCATTCACTCCAATGTTCAATTCATTCTCGCACCCCAGGACTGGTAAGTGAGATATTGGCTTTTCCTATTTGCCTGAACCACTGTCTAATACTCCAATTCCAGTTATTTCTCTTTTATTTCACCTCAATTATTGGGATTATGGTTGTCCCGGTACCTTCACACATCTTATCAGCTCTCCTGTAAACTAGATTACTTTACTTAAACCCAAATCTCCAGTCCATACCTCATTCCATTAACCTTCTCATAGGCCAACTTCTACTAATTTCCAGAGATTCCCTTTTCAACCCCCCATAGCACCTTCCTCACACTAATAATTGCCAGCCTGTAATCCCATTGAATACTTAAACTTCTAGGATGTTCTACCTACATATCTAGGTAGCTTTCCATCACCCTCCCCTACAGCTTAACTGAGTGCATCATACACTACACCATGGAAGGTAGTCTAATGCCCAGTTTTAGCAGGTTTGAGAAACATTCAAAGTTTATTCAGGAAATTACCTTCTATTGTCTCATAGTGGCACAAGCCATTTCCAATCAAAGACTCGTTACTCTTGGGGCTGAGGGGAGCAGAGAAGATTCACTGGTGGGCATGACTTCAGATATCAAGTAACTAGTATTTCATGAAAAGTTGATAAGTTTGCAAAAGAAATTAGCACCTTCCTCCCAGAAAAAACAAATGATAAATATAGAATAAGAAACTTAGAAGCATCAAATCGTGTTAGTTTAGAATGGATAAGATTATGATTATTCTTTCTACTATCTGAATTTCACATAACAAAAATTAAAATTACAAAATAGTTTACTTTTAAATATTTATTTCTTGAAAAATTTGCATCTATGACATTTTTTAAAGTTTACTTAAGTAGTCCTGATTTCTCATTTAATCAACTTTAAAAAGGGAAAACTACAGACATTAGCCGAAGCACATGAAATTATCCAGGCGTCGTATTCCCCAAAGTAGTCCCCTATTCACTACAATAAAAAAGGGGCTTTCTGAAATGAGTAAGTCAAGTTATATTTTCATTCTAAATAATTTATTCAGAAAAATTATTTATTCATTTTTCACAGAGGTTTATTTTCCTAGCAGTTTTGTTATTAGATGGTTGGAATTTTCTCGCTCTTATCATGTCTCATTTCTCTTCTTGCAATGCCAAAAAGGCAAAAATGAGAATATCTATAGCCATGTCTTCTGGCATAGTATTTTAATCTCCTCATATCTGGATAGAAAAGCATCATTGTGTTCGCACCTTTACAGTTCCATCTGTGCTGCCAGTCAAAAGCCGAGTCTCATTTGCATCAAGGGCCATGGTGCTGATTTCTGCGTTGCCATGGCAACCAGTAAACTGTTTGATTTTCTGCCCAGTGTCTATCATCCAGAAGGAAACAGTAGACCCTGTATCAGAGCTGATTACCTAAGAGAAAATAACATTTTAAAGAAATTAAATATAGTCTCAGAATCAACCATTTATATTTCAATAAAGATATCCAGCCTGTGCATTTCTAGTCCGAAGATCGCCCAATAGTCAGAGACATTTTTGTAATGGACTTTCTTTCTGTTAAGCCGATAACATTTCAATTTCGACTAGACCTGAGGTAATGAAGTCGTGATCCTCTTTATCAGAGGAGATAGGAATCTGCTTTCCTTACTCACCATTCAGCTTTAGTATCTAGAGGCCGTTCCAAAATCAAATTCTGAAAATAAACTTACGAACCTTTCCCATTTAGATGAGAAAGCTGATTTTACTAGTCATGGTGCTCTGACACTATTTACTATATGAAAAGACATTTCACAATATAGCAGCTTTCATTTAGCATTCAGAAAAGAAGCTCTATCAGCCATTATGGAAAATATTAATTTCAACGAATTACTAGAACTATGCTTTTAATGCCATTAGTCCTTTGCTTTCTTTTTTCCCAAACTACTGTGTATATTTTTATAGTTAAACGCAATTACTGATAGGTCACTAAAACAAACGAGCACAGGTTAAATATAAATCTACATGCACACTTTGAGAGAAAGGCAACAAGACAAATGCTAGAAGGGAAAGGATTATATACGGTAGTTCAAAAATGAGAAATTTTATGGTGGCAAGTGGACTGCTAATTTCAGTTCAAGATATTTAAGAGATTCATAGGTTAAAACCACCTAGCTAATATGACTTTGAAAACCAAAATAATGAAAGAAAAATAATAAGCACATAAATGCATAGCTAGGAAGTTGTCTAAAGCAATATGTAGATTTTACCCAGCACTTTGGGAGGCCGAGACGGGCGGATCACTAGGTCAGGAGATCGAGACCATCCTGACTAACACGGTGAAACCCCGTCTCTACTAAAAAATACAAAAAAATAGCCGGGCGTGGTGGCGGGCGCCTGTAGTCCCAGCTACACGGGAGGCTGAGGCAGGAGAATGGCGTAAACCAGGGAGGCGGAGCTTGCAGTGAGCTGAGATCCGGCCACTGTACTCCAGCCCAGGCGACAGAGGGAGACTCCGTCTCAAAAAAAAAAAAAAAAAAAAAGAAAGCTTAAAGCATTTCTTTTTCTGTTTAGGTATTGATTACCATTGTATAAATGTAAATGTATTAATAATATGTTAAATTTAAATGCTGCATTTTCATAATCAAACGGGTTGAAGTTTATCAAATATATATTCAGGACTGGCCATCATGCATTCATTCATTCATTCATTCATTCATTCTACAGCCCCTTGCATAACATCCAGGCTCCATAATGGCAATGGAACTTCACTGGCAAAATCCTGCTCTCAAGGAGTCCATTGTCTATAGTTTACACCTGTACATTAAAACCACCTGGGGAACTTTAAGAAGCATCACTGCATACCAGACCAGAAACTCTGATTCAATTGGCCAAGGAAATTGAATTTTACAGAGCATCACAGGTGATTTAAATTTATAGGCTGACCTATGACCTGCTAGTCTAGATGAAGAAACAGGCAAGAAACAGATAAATGCTAAACAATGTTTCAAGTTTAGAGGTATCACCTTTGGGTGCTGTGGAAGCACAGAGTGGAAAACCTGAAGTCCACTTGCTGGAGTGGGGGATTGGGTTAGGGAGTGGAGGAGCAAGGGGCAAGTCAGGATTCACAGAGAAGGTGATAACTGATCTGGGATTGAAGATGGAGACATATATTTATTATGAGATGTACCCCAAGCCCTTTCACTTATAATCTCATTGGGTCTTTACGAAAACTCTATGAAATAATGTTAGCACCATTATTTTACCAATGATGAAATTGAGTTTGTAATTAGCTAACAATGTCCCCAAACTTACAGATTTGAATTCTAGACATAGAAAGCCACATCGTAAGGTCTTCCTCTATTCCAGCACAGTATTCCAGACAACTAACAGTTCACTTAGGAAAGCACTTGGAGAATATTCCAAGAATGAGAAACAATGCAAAGCTTCATGGAGCCCGAGTGCAGAGTATTTGAAGTGACAAATATGGTGGGATTTCAAACGAGGAGGCAAGCTGAAGATGAAACTTTAGAAATCTCTGGTAAGCAGCTCCAGAGAATACTGAGTAATGTATAAAGTCAATTTTACTGGGAGAGGGCCCACAGCTTTCATCAATTATCATTGGGGGCCAATGATTAATCTAAAAGGTTAAAAACATTATTATTGTTCTTAATAAGGGAAAGAGTAATATAGTATTTTTTGTTGGTTGACTTGTAAAAATACTTCTTGCAACAGTATGGAGAATAAACTGGAGTTTTGGGAAGACCATTTGGAGGCTGCTGTAAGAGTACAGGTAAGAGATTCTCACCTAATAGAGTAGTTCTGGGGTACAAAGGAGGGGAACAATTGAAAGAAAGGGCCATGATTTAGCAACATTTGTATCTCAACAAAGAAATGAGCCAGGTGCAGTAGCTCATGCCTGTAATCCCAGCACTTTGGGAGGCCGGGGTGGGTGGATCACAAGGTCAGGAGTTCGAGACCAGCCTAACCCACATGGTGAAACCCCCATCTCTACTAAAAATACAAAAATTAGCCAGGCGTGGTGATGCACACCTGTAATCCCAGCTACTCGGGAGGCTGAGGCAGGAGAATTGCTTGAACACAGAAGGCGGAGGTTGCAGTGAGCCAAGATCGCACCACTGCACTCCATCCTGGGTGACAAAACAAAACTCCGTCTCAAAAAAAAAACAAAAAACAAAAAACAGAAAAAAAACAAAGAACTGATAATGAGCATATGATCCTTTTAGCCCTTCTTTTTCTGAAATTACAACTTTAATGAGACAATTTCTTAAATGAAATAAACCTGTATTTATGCTACAAATTTTCTCTCACTGAAATCAAAGGTACCTTAAATATTTAATTACCATTGTTAAACTACTGTGTAATTTCTAAGACCAAATGATCTGGATCTTTGAAATAATGTAACAACACATTAATTATCATCCCATGTCATTAACTGTTTCTATTTGATTGTGTTTGTGCACTATACACCGTGTTTAGGAGCACTGGATCTGGAGTCAGGATGCCTAAGTTTGAATGTCAGCTGCCTCACTATTTTTCTACCTTGGACATTAAGGTCAAGCACATTACTTACCTTTATGCTTCAACTTCCTTATCTGTAAAGCAGAGTTATTCATAGTAACTACTTCAAACCATTGTTATGAAGTTTAAATAAACTAATATTTTTAAAGCATTTACCACAGTGCATGGCATAGCCATAAATAAGCCATAAAAGTTAAGTAGTGTTACTATGCCATCTAAGTTTTATTTATCTAACCTCTTAGGCTTGTATCACTGTGCATATCCAAATCAATTTAAGAAAAATAGTATCTTGCTTTCCTCCAACTATGACAGTGAATGTAGACAAATTATATTTTAGAAACCAGATTTTAGATGCACATTGAAATTTTGAATTATACTTGTGAATTTCCCACGGAAGTGCTTAGGAAGTTGGATTACATTCATTAAAGATAAAATCATGAAAGTATAATTTGCCAAGCTTATGTGAAAATTTTGATAGTGGTCTTTTAAGAAAAGGTTAAAGATTGTGAAGGATTTTATTATTTCTATTAAAAAGCATTTTTTGGATTTATTTGTTTGTTTTTATTATTTTGACACATAATAACTACATACTTATGGGGTACCGTGTGGTATTTCAATACATGTACACAATGTATAATGATCAAACAGGGTAATTAGCATATCCATCACCTAAAACATTTACTATTTCTTTATGTTGAAGCATTCAAAATCCACTCTTCTAGCTGTTTGAAAATATACAATAAGTTGTTGTTAACTATAGTCACCTTATAGTGCTATAGAACACTAGAACTTATTCTCCTGATCTAGCTGTACTAAAAAGCATTTTCTGAGCAGCTATTATATGTTAGCCATTTCAGTACCAAAAGATGGTACTTTTTATTTCCCTAACAGAAATAAAAGAGCCATGTTCAAAGAAAAGACTTGATTACCTGTTTGGGGTGGGCATCACCCACATTTCAAAGCATCTAATCATTGTTATCTAATGTAGATATTCAATGAGGAATTAGTAATGTTCACTTTTTGCCATTTTATATTCTTTCCCCTGCCCACCTGACTGAGCCCCAACATACTATTCACCAGTTTTCATCACCTTTCTCTACTCATTTAACAATTTCTCATGAAATCTAAATCAGTCATGATAACAGCATATAGCCAGTCTGATTTCATTTTATGGCAGTCTGCCTCACGGCGCAGTTTGCAGGAAAACAGTGTGTTGAAACTGACTATGTCTCAAACATCCAACCAGTATTAACCAGAATCTCCTCTCACTATGACAATATTGGAATACAAGAATAACAATACGGGTGAAAAGGCGTTCGAAGTTTAGTGAAAGAGGAGTACATTTAACATTACTTGGCAGATGAAGAAAATGGATTCACTTCATGACAGTGGAAACTGTGTTTGGCAAATTGTTTTCATCAGCAATAAAGCCTAGGAATAAGTCCTGGCGTCACATTTCTATGCCACATTTTAATGATACCAAATCCCTTTAAGTTTGCAATTTATTTCTGATTATCTCTTATCAGGCTAGACCTCAGCTGATGAGGATGGGGCCCTGACACTCTGCAGAGTGAAAATGGTGCTAACAACCACACTCCAGGGCACGTGGGCCTCCTCAGTCGATCGTCGTTCTGATGGGAACGGTCTCCCTCTCATGTACTTCAGTTAGTAACTGTTTAGGAATATGTGTCTCCATTTTGTTTCTCTCATCTGAAGCTGTCACAGCTAATCAGACAATTCTAAGATATGTGAGGTTGTATTCAAGTTACCTAATTGTCTTATTGCTATTCCAATAACAGTAGGCACTTTAGTTGTCTTTTATGTGGATTTCAACTCCTAGGTCTAAGAAAAAAAAAAAAAAAAAAAGGAACCAAAAATTACAGCAGCAAATGCTA